AATGATATCTCTCGTTCCACGGCCTCTTCTGAATCCAGCTTGAACCTCTGGAAGTTCTCTGTCAATGTATGATTGTAGCCGTTTCTGTATTACCTTTTAGCAAAACTTTGCTCACTTGAGATATCAAAGAGATTGGGTACTTTATATAATTCAGGGCACTTTTTACTATGTGATATTACAGACATATATGAAGTAAAATGAAGACAGTCTAAAGGTTTCAATGAGGAGTTGGCTGTTGACCTGTGGGATGAAGTATTCCAACAGAAGAACCAGTATGAGCAAATAGATGAAAGCATGGAAGCATATGGCTTATTGGGGGAATAGCAATATGGTCGATACATACTATGAGAGATGAGGCTAAAAGATTGGTTGGGGGCTTAAGTGCCAGGAGTTTGGCCTTTAACCTGTAGGCAAGGTCATCTCAGAAGATATTTTTGTTTGCTTTTAATTAAGATATGATTCGTTCACATGCCATAAAAAATTCACCTTCAGAAGGTTTTTGAACATGATTAGATTTATGTTTTAAAAAAGATAGTGGGGCAAGCAGTGAGGAGGATAAATCAGAGGAGGGGAAGGTTAGGGCTGGGGACAGAGAAAACAAAATTATTATAACTGACCAGGAGAGAAGTCCAACTAAAAAGAATCCACTGACCGCCACATGCTACATTTATCTATTCTTTGTTTTTGCTAAAGCAAAAGCAAATTCCAGATATCTTGTTATTTTAAACCTTATAGATTCAGTATCTGTAAAATGTTGTTTTCTTGCATAGACAAGATCACTAAATAAAATGACCAAATCCAGTTCATATAAAATTGTCATAAATATTTTAAATGCCTTATGATTTAAAAAAGTCAGGATCCAAAAAGTAAGCACAATCTTTCAAGAGCCTCAGATGGGTGGGTAAGAACAGAATGTTTCAATAAAAGGATACATTGGGGAACAAAATAAATGAAAAAGACTTGGAGACTGCAACATACACGACAAAGGTCAGATGGAAGAGAACTTCCTAGAGGGATATGAGCCTAGGGACCTAGAAAGAAATGGGGGCTGAAATACGGCATATATTTCAGCAAGGGAGAAACTATCTCCACCCATTTTTTACTGTATACTGGAAACTTAGCTGATTCTAAGACGATGTAAGATCATGACATTGAACATTCCACCACAGAGCAAGAGAAGTCATGAGATGCCCCATTCTTTCTCCATTCCCAGCCCTCCCTCCTTAGTGCAGCACGGGACATTCCAGACCTTCTCACCACCTCCGACCCAGCCCTTGCTCCTGTCACGAGGCTTCAATCCCCAAGAGCCATTTCATGTGATGCTCAGCTGAGACCCCTCTGCCTGTCTCTTACAACACCAGAACAAAAGGCTTGTGCAGTGTTCACCTACCCCTATCTCAAGGGGGGAAGGGTAGTACTACCTTAGCCTTCTTATTCAATACCCCATTCTCTTACTACCCACTTTAAATATCCCAGTTCAAGTGCCTGAGATATTACCTAGAAGAATTTCCCAGTTACTTCACCGCTTTGGAGCTCCTACTCCAGCTCATTGCCCCCTCAGAATCATGGCCCTAAAGATCCACTAGGCCGTTGTCCCTCTAAGTAGATGGCTGTGTTGTTTTCAGGCTCAATCCCAAATCTCCCTGTGGGGAGGGAGTTCAGGTGCCCTTGTTCTCTCACTAAATCAAATCAAATAGGTGAAACATACCTGAAGCATTGTCTAGTGGAGCTGGTATCGCCCATAAATAAAAAAAATAAAACCCGTTGAAATCAAGTTGATTCCTAGAGTTACAGAATAAGGAGAATAAGCACTCGATCCTAACTAAAATGTTTGAACCCACCAGCTGTCTCCACGGAAAAACATGTGGCAATCTGCTTAGGTAAAGATTTACAGTCTTGGGAATTCTATGGGGGCAGTTCTACTTTGACCTTTAGGATTACTATGAATCAGAATCCACTGGACAGCAATGGGTTTGGGGGTGTTTTGGTTACAGAGTAGAAGTGCTCCATAGAATTTTCTTGGCTGTAATCTTTACACAGAAGCAGTTTGACAGATCTTTCTTCTGTGACATCGCAAGGTGGGTTAGCAGCCACTAGCAACCTGCAAAAAAATAGAGTAGGAGTTTAAATTCACACCTGTCCACATTGATGCTCCCCCACACTCACCTTCTGTGGCCCCCACAGCCAGCAGAGCACCCATCACAGACACATGGAGAAGGCACCTCCTCAGCATCAGATACATCTTGGCCTTCCCTCCAACAACCAAAGTGCCAGAGGGCTGAGGCAAACACTTATATACTAAAAGGGGGAGCTCATTTGCATAGGCCTTCCTCCCCTCAGCCTGGGAGGGAAGACAGGACTAGAGAAACCTTACTGACAAGGGTCTCTGGTTCCTGGACACTCCCTTCTCATCCCACTACCCAATGACAGTTTCTCCTTTCACTAGGTTTCTCATCTATACACATTCCATCTTCTCCTCTTCCCCACCAGAATTGAATGAAAGGCAGCTACATAACACATAGCCTACACACACAATTCATTATGGAACAGTGAATCAAACAGCTGTTTGAGTCAAACCAGGAACTTTTCAAAGACAGAGAAACAGAAACCCTGCATGGAGATAGACAGTATTGAGGTAGGCTGAGAGCCAGAGGCCACGACTCCTTTGAGGCCCAGAAATTCCTTAGAATGACGGTGAAATTCCCAGCTTCCTGATTTTTCTGAGCCAAGAGGAATTTAATCTTAGAGCAATACACATTATCCCCAAAGGTAATTAAAGAATCCCTACAGACTGTGGAGCTGCGGGTTAATGCGCTGGACTGCAAGTTCGGTTTGAACCCCAAGGCTGGCTGTTCAAGCTCACCAGCCGCTCCTCGGAAACTCTATACAGGGTCGCTATGAGTCGGAACCAACTCGATGGTATTTAACAACAACTGACTCGGGACACAGGCAGAAAACTCGAGGCCAAATCAGGTATTTGGAGAAAAGTCGTCCCGCCAAAGACAGAAACTTAAGGTCCCTCTGGCCCAAACTGACAGGGGCGGAGTCACCCACGGCAGGGGCTCCGGCCGCTCAGGGAGTCACCCCTGCTTTGACGTAGGCCAATAAGAAGCGTCAAGGGCGGAGTCAGGGAAACGCGGGAAGGAGGGGCGGGGCCTCTGGTGGCGGTCAGGAACTGGGGAAGACGGCAACATTGTTTCAAGTTGGACAAATTGACAAGAGCTAGAGAAACACTGCGTTCCATCCCCACTTCGGGCCTCTGTGCCTGGTGGCGTCTCTTTCTCCTCGGCTCCCAAGAGTCTGGGTCCGTTTTCTGTAGGGTTCCCAGGCCCCCGCTCCAGGGCCAGGCTGACCCGACTCGCTAGCGCTTCATGGAGAACTTCCAAAAGGTGGAAAAGATCGGCGAGGGCACGTACGGAGTTGTGTATAAAGCCAAAAACAAGGTGACGGGCGAAGTGGTAGCACTTAAGAAAATCCGATTGGACACGTGAGTGGCTTCTGTACCGGGGACTCCTAACTGGGGGAGCTCTTCTGAGTGCCCCCTTTGGCAGGCGGGCAGAGGTCCAAGGACCGGAAGGGAGTTCTTTTTAAGTGGGGAGGTGGGTTGGGGGACAGACTAGAGGATTTTCCCAAGGAAAGTATAGTGTGGGTATGAATCCACGTAGAACTTTCCCCCAAACTGGGCTGGGCGATGCCCTCAAATACACAATCAGACTCAAGAAGAAAAAGGAGGCCTCATGGGGTGGGATCAGGACTCCCGGTAGAGTTGGTTTTCTGGAAAGTCAGTGAAGAGCACCTTTCTGCCTCCTCTCTGCTTCAACCCCACCCTCTTAGAATTCTTTCACTCTTTCAAAAGAATGGCAGTTGAACCTCACTGGCTTCTCTGGGAAGCTGGGTATTACTCCCCCATTTTTTCCTCTGTTTCTTTCTGTCTGCTTCACTTTCATCAGGTGGCCTCACTTAAATACATCTGGAAAAAAAGAAATGATTACCTTAATTGTGTCCAAAAGCTACCCCCTGCTTTACCCAGGATTTAACTCCTACAATACCATTTCTCTTTTCTCACTTTCCTTTGGGGAAAGAAAGGAATGACTAGCTGGGGGAAAAGGAGTATTTGTAACCAAATTCCCATCTCTGCTCTCCCAATCCCTCCAAGTGAGACAGAGGGTGTACCCAGTACTGCCATCCGAGAGATCTCTCTGCTGAAGGAACTTAACCACCCTAATATCGTCAAGTAAGTATATCTGGGAGGTGGTGTAATAGCAAAAGACTACGTGTTCTGCCTGTGTAGCCTGAGCATTTCTCTCTCATCTACTTGAGACCTCCCTTCCTTAGGCTGCTGGATGTCATCCACACAGAAAACAAACTTTACCTGGTTTTTGAGTTTCTGCATCAGGATCTCAAGAAATTCATGGATGCTTCTGCTCTCACTGGCATTCCTCTTCCCCTCATCAAGGTAACTGTTTTCATCAACTCCTTCCCAGGATGATCATGTCTTTGGGGGGGACTGGAGGTAGGTAATTTAGACTGAGTGATTTGTGATTTGGCTCCCTCTCCTCCTCTCCCCTCCCTAGTACATTTTGTAGCTCTCTCTGCTCATTATACTTATTAACCCTAGGGCTGGGCAGGAGAATCAAAGAAGTTGAAACTCTGTGACTCACTTTAGCAGCACAGGTGGGAGGTCAGATGAAAGGTAGATAAATGAAATTTGAGGCACTTTGTAGGTTTCTTCAAAAAGTCTTCCCACCTGCTGCTTGGTGGGAGAAATAGCTAGTGAGACTGTTGTCTGTTTTAATGCTGGAATGAATTGTAATTTATTAGCAAATGTTTATTCAATATATGGAGTTCCTTGGGAGGCACTGACTTTTAAGAGTTTAGCTACTAACCAAAAAGTTAGTGGTTATAATCCACCCACGAGGCACCTTGGAAGAAAGACCTGGCGATCTACTGTCAAAAAGTTACGGTCCTTGAAAATCATATGTGCAATTCTACTCTGAAATACATGGTGTTGCTATGAGCTAGAATTGACTATGGCAATTGGTTTGGTCTTTGATTTTATTCATTGCATTTTTACTGAATGCATTCAATGTGCTTAGCGCAGAATATGGAAAAGGGATGCAAAACTGAATAAAGCTTGGTCCTTCACTGGGATTATAGCCCAATGGGAAAAGTGGTTTGTAAAATGTAATTCTAATCCAAAGGTTTTGGGGTGGTGCAAATTATTTGCAGTTGACTGGTAACCAAAAGGTCGGCGGTTCTAACCTACCCACAGGCACCTGAGAAACAGGTCTGCAGATCTGCCTCCATAAAGATTATAGCCAAGAAAACCCTACAGAGCAGTTCTATCTGTAACAGATGGGTCTCTCCTAAGTCATAAATCAATAACACAACAAAAACAAAATCAACCAAAAACATGTCATTCAGATCCAACATAGTATAAGAGTTTGGGGGGCACAGACTATACCTTAATCTGCTCACTGTGCTCACAGCTCTCTCTCTCTCTCTCTTGTCAGAGCTATCTTTTCCAGCTGCTCCAAGGACTAGCTTTCTGCCATTCTCATCGGGTTCTGCACCGAGATCTCAAGCCACAGAATCTGCTTATCAATGCAGAGGGGGCCATCAAGCTAGCAGACTTTGGACTAGCCAGAGCCTTTGGAGTCCCTGTTCGTACTTATACCCATGAGGTGAGAGTCTCTTATGCTTTTCTTCTCTGAACTCCACAGAAGTGTTAACAAGGGCATTCACAAAATTACTAAAAACATCTGGCCAGCAGTTTATCTCTCTTGGTAGATGGAAAAGCTCTCTGGAAACCCAGAGAGATTTTAGAGTATGCATAGAATCTACTTGTGGGCAAACTAGACTTAAACAGATGCCAGGCTTGGATAATTGGAATGGACACCATTAAAATTCTGACCATTTATCTCAGATTTTCCAGGAAGATCTCACATTGGAGGGCCTTAGAGTCGTGTGTTAGGCCCACTCTGGGCTACAAAATCCTATGTAGTCACTTGACCTAGGGGAAATTAAAGGGAGGAGAAGGAAGGAAGCTGTTTTATTAAGAGGCTGAGCGTTTGGAGAGCATTGAGATTTCCATGATCCACCCTTTCCCTTCCTGCTCCTGCCCTCCAGGTGGTAACCCTGTGGTACCGAGCACCTGAAATCCTTCTGGGATGCAAATACTACTCTACAGCTGTGGATATCTGGAGCCTGGGCTGCATCTTTGCAGAGATGGTATGTAGGCGTGCCTGGGTTTCATTCAACCCACTACTCCCCACATCCACAAGAACAACAAAACTTAACTGTTGGTTCAGACTCATGGCCCTTCTGTCTCCCTTGAGGATCTCTCTAGAATAGTGCCAAGCTGGGGTGGGGATAGGTGGATATATATATATATATATATATATGACTGTTGCCCCTGATGTCAACAAGAATATCAGGATATCCCCAAATAGCCTCGCCTTCCAGTATGCATCTCTGTAAATCCCTGAAATAAGCTAAATCATTTCTGTAGTTACTTTAGTGTTGATCTGTATATATTGAAACCCTGGTGGTGCAGTGGCTAAGTGCTCAGTTATAAGCTGTTCAAACCCACCAGCCACTCAATGGGAGAAAGATATGGAAGTCTGCTTTCGTAAAGATGTACAGCCTTGGAAACCCATGGGGCAATTTTACTTTGTCCTATGGAATCACTATATGTAGGAATCAATTCTGATAGCAGTGGATTTGCATTTTCTGCATATATTTAGGAGAATGAATTCCACTTAGTATCCCTCCTTCATTTGGCCTGTAGATTGTGCTATAGAGTATGGGAGTGTGGTGAAGCCAACTGTGTTCACCTTACCCTCACTCTTAATTTAAATTACAGACTTAGCTTATGTGCCCCTTAATCTCTGGATTTTAAGGTTGAAGACTCACTGAGGCCTAACCTTAAGTGGGAGTGCCCATCCCCTTTAATACAACAGTGAAGTGGGATGAGTTTTCAACTCAAATCAGCCATCTCTTTTTTGATCCTTTATCTGGGTTATAACTGAGGGCTTAGAGACCATAAGCCTAATGTATGTTTGTGTATATATAGTACATTTTCCCCTAGTGCATTGCCTTACAGTTGCCCATATTCCTCTCTCAATTCATCAAAAAATATTTGTTAAGCACCTAGTGTGTACCCAGCACTATGCTAGGTGCTGTGGGGAACACAGAAGAAATGGAAGACACAGTCTCTGCCCGCTGTGCTCCTATCTAGAAGTGGCTGCATCACAAGGAGGGGGGATGACTGCAGTGTCTACCCCACACCCCGTGAGTGGCTTGGGATCCCTTTGCTACATGTCAGTGGCACCCCAGACATTCACCCCTTTCCAGCCCCATCCAACCTTGGGGATCTGCAAAGCATAGTTGGGGGAAAGAAGGAGGGGGTGAAGAGACAGATTAAGAGACTTCATTGTCTCGGGCACTGTATGACTGACCCCATGAAAGGCTCTGGGGTGAGGGGTGGGGAGAGTCATGGGGCCCTGCTGACCTTCCACTGCCTGTGGGAACCTCCTTTGTATAGAGGGCAGTTTTCACTGACGTAAATGTGGGTCTTGGTCTTTCCTCTCCCCATTCTCAGGTGACCCGCAGGGCACTATTCCCTGGAGACTCTGAGATCGACCAACTCTTCCGGATCTTTCGAACTCTGGGAACCCCAGATGAGACAGTTTGGCCAGGAGTTACTTCTATGCCTGATTATAAGGCGAGTTTCCCCAAGTGGGCCCGGCAAGATTTTAGCAAAGTTGTGCCTCCCCTGGATGAAGATGGACGGAGCTTGTTATCGGTGAGAGTGAGGGGTGGGAACCCACTTTCCTTCATTTTCTCCCCTATGGCAGGGTTTTACCATTGTGAAAGAGGAAGGATGAAACCCTAGATTCCTTAGCACCTCTCAATAACCTGAGAGGGTTTGGATATGGGAGGAGGGAAATGGGAACTTTGTCTTGGGTAAAATTATTTCTGGTTTCTTGATTTCTCTGAATACTTACTGCCCAGGCCTAGCCTACTATTAATTATATCAACTGAAGTCAGTGTACTTCTGTCTTTCCTTCCAGCAAATGCTGCACTACGACCCCAACAAGCGCATTTCAGCAAAGGCAGCTCTGGCTCACCCTTTCTTCCAAGATGTGACCAAGCCAATACCTCACCTTCGACTCTGACGCCTTTCCACCAGCCCCCACCCTCAGTTTCACCCTCTCCTCTAGTGTATGCCTGACCGGGCTTGGGTCTGGTTGTTGAGACTCAGGTGGGCCCACTGATCTTGTCTGGTTGCCTTAACACTCATCTTGACCTTTTGGCCAGTCAGCTCGAGGGATATAGAAAATGGAGGGGAAGGAGGAGTGGGAATGAAAGAGTTTTATTATTACATGCACTTAAGTCAGTTTCTCTACCACCCTAGTGCTCTCCTCTTAGGCACTACTAAGGGCCAGTCTCCAAAATCAGACCAACTCTTCCCCCATAATTCCACATAGGTTTGCCATCCTAGACCATTTCTGAGTGACTCATAATGATTATTTTTTGTGTTTGGGAGTGACAGGGCCTCCAAGCCTCCTGCAATTGTAAGGCCAAGTGACACCAGAGGACTAAGTTGAAACTTTGAAACCCAAGCAACACAAAAATATGGAGAGGGGTCTGTTTTTAGGAATTAGGTTAAAGAATAGACCCTACCACATTTTATGCCCTTGTTTTAGTGTTTCACCTCAACTAACAGGCTAGGAAACTCAAGACTCCAACTCTGGTGGTGGCTGCAGTAGAAATGATTGTTTCCAGCCCTCTTGTCTGCCCGTCTATGGCCAAGGGGTCTGGGAAGCCCAGAGTTGGGTAGCATCCAGGCCCATTGCTTCACTACAGCCTTATGAGGCAAGTGAGAGATGTTTGAATTTTCCCTTCCTTTTAGAATTCTTAGTTCTTTGGTTGCCAGGTATCCCTGCTCCCATCTTCCTCTGAAAGGTGTGGAATGGAAGTTAAGAGTAGACATCATTTTGAAAATACTGACACTTTTTCAGGGCTGTGACTGAGCTGGGGGTACTCTGGGAAAATATTTCTTTAAAAGAAGGATGAACAATTATATTTATATTTCAGGTTATAGTCATTTTTAAAGTCAGTGGGGGGAGGGGGAGAACTGTTGCTCCGTGCACTTGGGGTTTTGTAATGCGAATGTTTAAAAATATTTTTTCTTTTTATGATTTTTGTCTCTTCCCTTACCTCTTAAGTGTTCTTGCTATTAACATTATTTGTAATTTAGTTTGTAATTCATTAAAAAAAAGTTCCTGGTTTTGTATAGCTCATACCTTTCCTTTTTTTCTTTCACTGAAAGAGGAGCATATGTGAGAGAGAATATGAATGTGAATGTGTGATAACTGGTTTCAGATCCCTCATTTCCTAATCTCTCTGTGCAGGTTTACCAACTCTTCTCCATTCTGGCTTCCAAGATGCAGTTGGGATAGTAGTTAACGTGGGCAAAGTATTATTTTTCCCATTTTCCAGAGGAGGGAATTAAAGCTCAGAGAGGTTAGGTAACTTTCAGATATCACAGCTGTTAAAGTAGCATAACTAGGAGGCTGGGAAGAACTCAAGTCTTTCTAACTGCTAAGTCTCTTTTCTACTTCCCTGTCCCTGCAAATCTGCATCCTTCTAACATGCATACACACACTTCGCTCTCTTCCAGACTTTCTAAGGGCTTAGAAATAGCAATAAGTTTTGAAGTGGACTCTGGGAATTCACCTTGACCCTGCATTTCCCAGAAAGCTCACTGTGTTTGCCTTTTTTTTTTTTTTGGTATATCACAACAGTTTTCTGAAGATGCTTTTATTTATATTCACATATGATTCAGAAAACATCAATTGTCTATAGGAAAAAAAATACTATGAACGGGCTAAAGCTTCTGGTTTGGCACTGTAGGATAAGCACTTGACCACAATGTTGGTTTGAACTGCAAGGTCAGCAGTTCAAATCCACCAGCCGCTCCTAGAAAACCCTATACACAACTAGCACTTAACAACAAACTATACCACTGCTCCTCGTTGCCACTGTCTCGCCCCACGTTAAAACATCAGAGGTTTTATCCCCCAAAATTCCTGTTCTCTAATTGTTAAGTGCCATGAAGTCAGTTCTGATCCTGGATAAGGTTTCCAAGGAGCGGCTAGTGGGTTTGAATCACCAACCTTGAGGTTAGGTGTCCAATGCTTAAATGACAGCGCCACACCAGCACGCCCTGTCCTCATGTCATCAAATACCCTCGAGTCAATTCTGACTCAGTGATCCTGAATAGGGCTTTCAAGGAGCAGTTGGTGAGTTTGAACCGTCAACCAGAACCACACTAGGGTTTCCCTTGCCCCTCTTTGTTGATGTTAAGTGTCTTAAAGCAGATTCCAACTCAGCGACACTATATAGTTTCCGAGGAGCAGCTGGTGGGTTTAAACTGTCGACCTTGTAATTCTCAGTCCAGTGCTGACCCGAAAGCGCCACACCAGGAATCCAGGAAGCACTGACGTGAAGGTTATTGAAATTCCCAATCTCCAGTTCCTTAAGAGAGGTATTTCCCTGTACGTCCGCGATTTTGTCAGAGGGCGGAGCGCTAGAATTAGCCGTTTCCCCATACCACCCCCACTGCCGCCAAATCGCGGGAGGGGGGAAGGTCAGTAGAGGCCTTCCTGGGGTTCCTTTCCACCCCGCCTTACTTGCCAGTCAAGTCCAGAATTGTCGCAGTACTGGTTAAAGTTTCACTTTGACCCGCCTCCAGCACTCACCTGATTAGATGTTTAGAAGTCAAAAGGCGGGGGTCATGGGGTGTCGAGAGTTTATTGGTTGACACATACGCCTGTCACCAGTGTACCGCCCCCTGTTTTAGGGAACTCGCTCTTTAATGGTTCCTTCATGTGTCAATCTTCAAGGCTTCTCGCCTTTTATTGGTTTGTAGCCCCGCCTGTTCATTCCCCTGCTTGTACTCGTTGATGACAATTCTGAAAGAGCCCTACCTTTCTCTTGAGGATTGGCGGGTGAGTGCACATATTGCCCACCCTCGATGGTAGGCGGGTAATTGTGCTATTGGCTGGGGCCCCCGCCCAGGGCGAGGAGGAGGGGTGGGAGGGTTTGGTTGAGCTGCAGCTGTTTGTCTGTTCGACAGAGGCTTGGGCCTGACGGGGAGACGGAGCCTCAGGTACAGGGCTAGTGGCGCCCAGAAGGGCAGGGGCGGAGGCGCCGGGGCGGTAAGGGTGGCCTGGCCTGAGAGTGGAGGACTGTCTGGGACTAAGCGAGGGAGTTAAATGGCCCACTGGAGACAGGAGAAGGGGGCCGGGTCCTGGCAGGCCTAATGGGGGCGCTGAGGAGGGGGCCGAGCGTGTTGGGAGCCCAAAGTTGGTAACGCGGGGAGGTGGCAGGGTGCTGGCGGCGGCCGGACTGGAAGCTGGGTGCGGAGGCCCGGGGCTGGTAGGAGAGGTGGGGCCGGCCCCATTAAACAGCGCTGGAGAGGGAGGAGCTGAGTGGAAGGGACGGGGCAGCGGTGAGGTAAGCCCATTTGCTTGGAGGTGAGGAGGGGTCAACCTGACGCTTTAGTCCCGAGGGTAACTGAGGCAGGGTCTCTCGAGATGTGTCTAATTAGGAGGGCCTGAAAACGGGTTCTTAGTTAGGTAAGAGGTATTCTTTTCACGGAAAGTAGCCATTGTGAAAATAACCGAAGGGGAGAACTGAGTTGAGCCGAGAGGGATTTGGCTTCAGGGAGGGAGAACTGAGGCACACGAAGAAAGCTTTATTAACTTAATTTACTAAAGAAGTTAGGGAAAGGAAAGCAAGGCCTGATAACAGTTATATGAGCTGCTGGAAGAGAGTGCAGAAGCTGTACTGGAGGCTCCGGGTTTGGGGAGTACCCACTCTTTTGTTCCCATTCATGTTGGGATGTGTAATCATTTTAAGTTTCTTCGCTATTCCCAGGGTAGGTAGTGAAGACAAAAGTTCTTTTATTTTTGTGATAGTCGGCTGCTCCAAACTCAGCCCTTCCTTAATTATTACACTTTGCTTTGGCCTCATGGCTAGTTTAGACAGCACTCTTTTCTATTTCTTCCTACCTACTGTTTCATGCCTTGTGAAAAAGCTAAGTTGCCTTGAGGGATATTTTGTCCATTTCTTTCCCACTTGATAACATGGCCTATAGTGGATACTGTATCTCTGACCTAAAGTGGGAATCTGAATGATTTCATTATTTGCATTGGAAAGGAGTATAGAAATCCCCAGCCATCAAGAGATCTGACCAGAGTTGGTAACACTTTTGTTGAACTTAGACTTGGGTACTTCCCAGGCAGGTAATCGAGTTAGATGGAATGAAGTCTGAAAATATGAGCTGATATCACTGAGGACAGCATTTGGGAAACAGCAATTCCATTCCCGAAAGTTGACATCACCCGTTGTCGTTTGTCTAGTTTCTGTACTACTAGAAAGTTGTGTCAAACAGTGAGGTATTTGGAAAAATGGATGAGTAAAGAAAAGGAAGGTGAGTTAGTAAAGCAGAGGACTCCCTTCCCCATGCATTTTTAATGGCCTGCTGACCACCTTAGACCCCATAGATTAGAGCCTCTTGGAGATTTTTTCCTCTATTATAGCTCCTCTTTCCCCTACTGTACCAGTGTCGTCTTCTATCATTGTTTCATTGTAATTACTAAATATGTGCACATTAAAAAGTATTCAAGCTATGCAGCAGTATTAAAAGTGTAAGTCCTCCACACTCACTCCACCCTTTTTTTCAGTCAGGAATGTCAGAGGTAAGAATCAGAAGATCAAACTAATCTTGCTGTGTTTAGGGGATGTGCCACTAAAGGCAATTCTGTGTTCATATTCCCACGAAACTCCTGTCTTTCATTCTTTCGTTTTCCCTTCTGGGATGATACTCTGTTATTGTGCTACTTTCAGTTTTTCTTTGTCATCTATGAAACTCAGGCAGGCAAAGTTCTGTACTTTGTAGTATCACTTAACTTCTTAAATTCACATATATACCAGTTATATTTTGGGTATCCTAGAAAATGCCCAAGTAGATCGGACCAAAACTTTTTTCTCTTTTATGAAAGCAATATTCAAGTGAATCATTTTGCTTGGGATAATTATTGGCATCACTGCTAAGGTGAGTAATTTGAGACCTCTATCTTCTGGTTCATGGACTTGTAGTATGGCACTGTAGGACCGGCAGTGGACTGCAAACCACAAGACCAGCAGTTCAAACCCATCAGCAGATCCTTGGAAATCCTATATGCGGTTGCTATGAGTCAGCGTCAACTTGACAGCACTTAACAACATAGCTTCTGGTTCATGGTCTGCCTGGTCAGATTATATGACTGTTCCTTCCTTATCCATGAAGGTGATGGTGCTCCTAAGGAACTTCAGTGTTTGTCTTGTCTGTAGTGACTTTAGAAGCCCCTAAGAGTCTCTGGATTTGAAATTGGTTTTCCTTTAAACTTCATAATACAGCTAGGGCATTTCATCAGCCAGTTATCATAGCAACTCCATGTGTGTCAAATAGAAAGAACTGTCTCCACAGGGTTGCTAATGGCTGATTTTTTGGAAGTAGATTGCCAAACCTTTCTTCTGAGGTACCATGGGGTCGACTCAAACCTCCAATCTTTTAGCAGCCCATCAAGTTCATTGGTTGTACCACCCAGAGATATTTCACACTACCAATTTATTAATTGAATTTGTTCTCACTGGGCCTGATCTGCCCTCTAATGTATCCAGCCTTTGCACAGTGCCCATAAGAAACCTCAATTCTTATTCCTTGGGAGCTATTATTTTCTTACCTACAGTCAGTCCTGGAGAATGTGTAAATGTAGGGTTTTTGTTTGTTTTAAATCCTCTTTCATCTTTGCTCTTTGACATTTTCTAGTATTCTGTATTCTGTAGTATTCTGTCCTTTTCCTCTATATGTCCCTTTGTTTTTCCTACCTTTCCTTTAACAAAACCTATTTTTAAGAAAGTATCTGGAATTGCTCCATAAGATGACAAAGTCACTTAAATTGTTAATTCTTCCAAGGGATTTTGCATTTCAGGAGTGAGCTCAGGTGTGGAGTTATCAATATGGAATTTCAAATATAGGTCTGCAGTTGAAAAATTATTTGGAGAAGTGGCCTTTCCATTACCCTTGATGTCGTACCTCATATATTTTTACCCTTACTGTGCCTACATGCAAGGATTACCCTTTCATAGTTTGCTTGTTTGTGTGCATTGATGCCTTGGACTTCTGAGAAAGAGGCTTAGGATAAGAGAATCAAGTATATAGCCTGCTCCTTAATTCCCTGATTAAGGAGATTTCCTGATTAGACTGGAAAGTAATCAATGTGTGAGACATTTAACTTAAATAAGGAAATGCAGCAGCCCTCTGGGAGGAAAGATTATAAAACCCTACACATTACGCTTCTACTTCCCAAGAGTGTTTTAGGAAAGATTTAGTCATTGACTGAATAGTAACTGAGCTGATTAAGGAGACACCCAGGTGAGTAAAGTGGGTGATTCCTGGGCATGCTATAGCTTCTGTTTAAAAGCAGTAAGTACCATTTCAGAGTGCCTCCTGGCTCTGTGGTAAAAATTTTTCCGTTTTTAAAACTTATATTTCTCAAGTTGAGGGATTAATAGAAGGGTAATGACCTAAAGCTTTTTAACCACTCAACATCAGCTGAAAAATTCAGGGAACCTTGTTTTTAGCCACAGTTGCCTCAGTGTTAGGGTGGGAGGGCCACATATTGGGTGTGATTAAGCCATCTAAGGCGTAGTAACGGGTGACAGGAAAAGCAGTTAGCCCATGTGAGTTGCAACAGTACCTTGTGGGCTAGGTTCCAAAGGGGCCCTCCATCCAAGAGAGAGAATTAGGTCTCTGGGTTCTATTAAAAACATTCCCAAATGGAACTGAGTCTATCCAGATTACATGGATGGGAGAGGTAAGCAGAATTGTTTTTGGCTTTAAGTATTTTAAACATGTAATGATTCTCTACTAGGGACCATGCTCTGACCTGGAGATTCAAGATTACATTAAAAAATAGTCCCACTTTTTGAGACATTTGGAAACTTAAAGTAGACAGACACAACGTATATGTGAGGGGACTTAAAAAAGTTCATGGAACAATGCCATTATCTCTTCATTCAATTTTTCCATGAACTTTTTGAAGTCCCCTCATATAATGTGATAAATGCTATTATAGACATGCATTCTTTTTGAAAATTATTTTCATTGTTATTGAGAATATACCCAGCAGTTAGACAATTTACCAGTTAGACAATTTCTACATGTACAGGTCAATGACATCAATTACATTTTTCTTTTCTTTTCTTTTTAAATGTTTTATTGTGAATTGTGTGATAGTCTACATGGGAGAACATCATCAGCTTTACATTCATTCCATCATCCATTATTTCATTGGCATAGTTACCATCCCGTCCATGCATCCTCACCCAACCAAGGGGTGTACCCTGTAAGCCTGCACCCCACCCCCGCCACCACAGTCCTCAGCCCCTTTCCATCTCCTGATCCCGAGTCCCCAGCCCCACCATCTCTTGACGTCATCTTCTCTGCCTCCATCTCAGGCCTCACCGCCTCTCTGGGTAGGATTCTGCACTTCGCTCTTCTCCATTGATAGTACCAGGGTCCTCCACTCCTAGACTGATAAGTTAATCACTCCCCTCTTTGCTACAAAATGTCCATCTTTAGATTTCCAACCCTCACAATCAGAGTCCTGATAAGAATTATTCACCATTGCATCACAAGAGACCCATCTATATTTCGTTTCATCAGCCCTTCCTGGACAGGCTGGACACCACTCACTGGAGACTCTACCTTCCTCCACGCCCTTTGGATCTAGGTTCTCTCTTGAAAGCTTGTAAGCCAGTCACTTCTTGCCTTTGTATCCCTCCCCCCATTTTGGGTAGCCAATGTCCAAGTTGCCCATCCCTGTGTACCCTTTGTGTGGAGGGGGTGGGAATAGTTCTTGGCAGCAGGGATTTGTTTCCTTTTTTGAGCTACTGCATTCATAGGTGTAGGTCCTGTTTATTGAATTGTATCAGATGACGCTTTTTTTTTCCCCTCTTCTTTCTTCTTCGGGTTGAGCTCTGTTTATCCAGGTATTGAAATCCGGTCAAATGGGTATCATGTGCAAGTGTGGGTGTTCTTATGTCTGTCCGGCGTCTTTT